ATCGGCGTTCTACTGTATTGCATAACACACACTAGTAAATAATAGTTAAAAAAACAAGCTTTTTATCAAGCTAAATTAAAAGGCGGAAAATATTTTTCTCTAAGTTCAAAAAATCATTTTATCGTAAAAAAGCGTGGGGTACTTATCAAGAAACATAATTACTTAACTTTATCAATATTAATGAATAAAATGTTTACAATTAGTGAAATTAATTGAATCTTTACCAAAAGTTCCAAAATTTTGGTAAAGATTCAATTGTTTGTTGTTTGAATGGAAACTAGTTTCTATTGGCCCGAGGCTTGATCCTATAACCTAATTGGGTTAGTTTCCTTGACAACTTTTTTTATTTTTGTTTTCTTACATTACAACTCAGTAGTTGTTTTCTTACTTTACAGTTAAAGGAAACATAGTTATGTAATTATTATCTTAATAGAATCTATGGCTAATATTTATGGCCAGATATAATCTTGTAGAAGCCCCCAGGAAACCAGGAAGCGAAGGCCCTGAAAAATGTTTTAATCTGATGACCAAGAAAATTGACAGTTCTCTGTATCTAATATATAAAATATCCAAAAAATTTATAAACAATAATTATATTTGTGGTAGGGCCACACAGCAGCCCGTTGCACGATTGGGCAGGCTCGTCCGTGTAAGTACCATGACGTCACAGAAGACCGGAGTGAAGTGGAATTATTAACTAATACTTTCGCGTTTCGAGTGGTGAGTGAGGAAGCCAGAGTCCAATTTTCAAAAGGTTGTCAACACATCTGGAATCGTCGGGTGTAGCAGATGTCCATGGGCAACGGTATTCACTTAACATTAGGTGAACCGCATAAGGGAACACCCTTGGCAACCTTTTTTAAAGAGTGCTGGGATCCAAAGAGTAAAGTAATGTATGGGATCTTCAAAGGATTTGGAATATAGTGAACAGTTACACCAAAAAATAAAGCAGAAAAATATATTAACTGGTATCTTTAGTAGTATTAACTGGAAAAAATTAATGTAGGGTTTTACATTTTTCTTATTGAAAGCTCATAATTTATATGTGTATTCTATTTTATCCCTTAGAACGCCATATTCGTTCATTGTAACGACACAAAATTATATAAATGTAACGTCCAAAACGTTGCGTTATAGTGACATCTAGTTAAAAGAAAAGAAAACGCAATATACGTGTTGCTACCAACGACAATAGATGTCTATACAAAAATATTCCATTTGCTTAAATCGAAGATTACATTATTAATGTGAAAAAATAAATACTGGCAGGCAAAACGTGATGGTCTGTTGCACAGAGTATATTTGTATATATATGAGAATATGGTCTGTGGGTATGTGCCGGAAATACTGCACCGCCGCGTACACTGCGAGAAGTTCGCGGTAATACGCGGGTCATGTACTTTGGCTCTGTGTTGGCTTTTTGGAAAAGAATGCCAACGGCTGCCAACCTTGATCAGGCCATTGCTGTAAAGCAGCGCCGACATGAGTGCTAGATGCGTCCGTGTACAATCCTAAACGAGCATTTCGTTGCGGATGTACAAGCATGGTGCCTCTGAGAGACTGTCGCGACACTCGTAAAAACATCGTTCTAAGTCTGGTGTCCAGGACATAGCTTTTGAACCTTTCAGGTTGCTGACTGTTAAAAAATCCACAGGTGGAGCTTGCAGCTTGGCGGCTTTAGGAAGAAATTGGCGGTAATAATTTACCATCCCCAGGAGGCGTCTCAAGCTTTGTGCTGTTTTGGGAATTGATAACTCGCGGAGAGCAGCGATCTTCTCTTCAGGTGGGCAGATACCATCCTTGGTTATCTTATAACCTAGGAAGATCACCTTACCTGCTCCCAATATACACTTATCCACATTGACAACGACGCCATAGTCCACCAGTCTTTGTAGAATTATGCGCAGGTGTTTGGCATGCTCTTCAGCGTCCCGTGAGAACACCAAAATATCGTCAATGTAGGGAAAAGCGAAGTCTAGTCCGCGCAAGATCACGTCAGGGTCACCAGTTTGGGTGCACTGTATGTTCAATCACGTTGGGGTCACCATTTGGGAGCCGGCAGGAGAGAATATTTAAGGTTGTCACTCGTTACTGTAGTAATTTATCAACATCAGGGTAATGCTAGACCAATGAGAATAACACAGTTATAAAATTATATTCTCATTGTGTACATGTAGTCCTAAATTTAAGAAAAAATAATTTAAAAGGGAAGTTTTCTTCAATTTATTTACATATTAAATTAAAGTAACTTTAGTTACCTATTATTACCTTAGATATGGCTAGTATAAAGTCAGTACGAAGCATGAAATTGTAGTATAAATACCATAATTTTAGTAAAAAAATACAATACTATACTAGGTATAGTTAACAGTTATTTTTGCGTTCATTTTTATCGTTTACGGCTTTGAATCAGTTAATCTTCAGCTGAATTAAATTTGAATAAAAATATCGTTTTTGATGCGATTACAATATGAAATTTTTATCTCGGCCAAAAATATGGATTAATCGATAACTTATAATCGGTTGAGTTGATCGGCATCCCCGATCAACTCAACCGACTAAAAACGTGCCAATACCAAAGAGAATATAAACACTACGTTTAGGAAACTGGACTTCCATACTGGCTAAAAATATCAGTTTACGCGGCACTCCAATACCAACCATAGCACAAAAATACCAATAAGATATCAAATTGTCAAACAAAAGCAGTACCAACGTAACGAGCCAAATAGTGCTTAACCAAGCGAGCATAGCTTCTTATCGATATCGATAAAATATAACAAGTAGAAACAGAGTTTCCCACTTAACATTTTTTTATTAATTTTAGGTAAGTATCGAGCCCGTATTTATGTCCAATCTAAAGTTGATGAGGGGATATTTGGTACTAATATAAGATTGGACTTAAATGCGGTCCCGAAATAAAATAAAAAACAGTTTCTGCTAATTTAATTCAAATTTTATGATTTTAATGAAATTACATATTCAAAAGAAAATGAATTTTTAAATAAAGAAATTGTCTTCACACACCGTATGTATAAAATGTATTTAATTTGTATAAATATTTTTCAAGTCAATGAACAATGTTCAAGGTCAATTATATTAATTAAGTTAATTTTTAAATAAATAGTTTTGATTACCTAGATAATTAAATTTTCCGATAATTATTCTAGCTTGTCAGATAATTTTAAAAAAAGATGACTTTTCTCATTTAGGAAGTTTTTTTTTAAAACAGTGGATTTTAGGAGGTTTTTGAATTTCTTTAGGAGTTTTTTTTTTTTTTTCAACAGTTGGTAACACTGCTACTGCTTAGGGATGTCGATATTAGAAAAACATCGATGTTGACATCGATATCATAATAGGAAGCCCAACATCGATGTACGATACTTATCGAAAGCCGAACATCGATGTTTGATAGCATCGATGATTTTTGCATTAATAGTAATTATTGACAACGAAATAAAATACATTGAAAATCAGTCGAATTCCCAAAAGCGACTTTTATCCCTATCCTCGTATCCCTGAAAACATAAAATAAAGTGTAAACAAAATTTAATTATGAACTCATTATAACCGGACCATACAAAAATATTCATTGAAAAATACACTAAATTAAATATTATATCACCTTAATATACAATTTTCAATACAACTAAAACCTCAAGCATCCACATTCCACACCACAGCTGTACAAAAAAGTGAGATAAATTGTCTACGGTAAATTGTCTCATTTATATAGCATTTATAACTTTAAAAAAGAACGATATTGTTTAGCATGCACAGAAAGAAAACAGATGAATTCAATGTTTAGAAGTCAATCAATGAAAACTTACATATTATTGTTGTATTCCATGTAATTTTATTTGCACAACAGTACAATACTATCAAATGAGTAAATTAAAACAGGCGACGCACGCATACAACATAAAATTTTATCAACAGACGAATGGAAGTATGAGAGAGAAAGAGCGAGCGAGACTACGAAGGATTAACCAGTGCGCAGCGAATGAATACACCTTCAGAACTTAATTAAACCTTTTGTGGATGCGTTCATAGAAGACATAATTTGTTTCATAAGTTGCATTGGTCGTGCGTGAGGCCTAGCTCACGGTCTCATCGATGATCGACGAGGTTAACATCGATGTTACGATATTTTTCGTATAGCAACATCGATGTAAAAACATCGATGTTTTTGCAGTCAACATCGATGATCATCGATGTTCGAGCATCCCTACTAATGCTCTCTTGCTACGTAGGTGCGTGTTAATTGCTATTACAAAAAATGTTTTCTAGTCTTGTACTTTTGTAAAAGTAAAAAAATAACATTTTGAGGGTGTAAAAATAAGGCGTTTAAAGTTTTTTACCTAGTTTTCGTCTCAAACATTGGTGATTCCGTCGTGATTATTTTGGATGTACGCAAAGACCAGAGGGCCTTGGCCAAAGGCTGCCATTTTAGTCTTTACTTCTACGACGCAGTAAAAAGAAACATCTAGAAGTCTTCAATATTTAAATGAGAAGAGTACGTCAAGATAAGCAAAAAATATATTAAATTGATCAGACAAGCATAGATCAGAGTTGTCCGTGCAGGGAAGTTTGCCCAATTTATAAAATTTATAATTAAATCACGGTAAATTTCGCGCCAAAGTTCTGCTTCAAATTAGTGGACGGTGTTTTCCCACTAAAAATACGCTATAATTATGCTTTAGGCTTTCCGAAAGTTTGAGTTTGGTTTGTGCTTTGTATCTATTTCCACCTTGTTTTGCATTATTTGCATTTACCTAATATAGTCGTACAAATTTAAAATGATGGCGTAGAGGCACCTCCATTGTGTTTAACTTATCATATAGCTAAATTAGAATTTAGATATGGTTTCAATTATTATTTTCGCTTGAAAAGTTTGCTATATTTCTATTAACGATAAATTATAGGAAGAATAGAAAATTTAGCTTTTTCGCACTATTTTGGGCCATTTATATTTTAAATGTATTTGCCGACTATTCCAGCTGTGGACCTCAAGTGTACCTCGTCGGACAACTGCACCGATTCCTGGACTCCACCGAGAGGCGTGGGGTAATTCACTACCTACACATCGGGGCTACGGTTCCTGACCAGTCACCACGCAGGCGTCTGATCCACAATAGCACATTCATTGCCAAATTTAAAATGTGGCAAGCTACGGTTTGGACATGTTGTTATTTTCAAATATTAATTCATTTTATTCATTGCTTACTAAGGCTTACATTTATAATCATTCATAATGCCTGAATTAAAAGATTTGGTGAAACAACGAGCCAGTATAAATTTGAGAGCTACTCAATTCCTGAATTTGTTTGGAAATTATCTAATAATTTCTTGTATTTACGCGATTACACATTATAAATGAAACTAATTTTACGGATTTACCGCGTTTATTTTTAATTTCAATTCCCGACGTTTCGAACCCTTTACAGCGTTCATGGTCACGGGACAGACTGAGGTGTTAGACGATTGTTATAGTTAACCCGGGCTACCGTCAGTTTTTGAATTATTAATTTTGTGTCCAATCTATCCAGAGGGAGAGCTAATGGTATCTTGTCTTGCAGTAGTGGTTTGTTTGGGCCTAGATTTAATTTCATTGATGACAAGATCCCAAGCTGATGGTAGTACCAAACCCCCTTCTCTATTGAAATTAGGGTGTTTTTTAATTTTGATAGCCCGCACTATCATCCTTGGGAGGAATCGGTGTTCTTTTGCAAGCATATGTGGTCTATCAAACCTGATGTAGTGGTTGGGGCGATTAAGACACCTTAATCACACGGCGATTAAGACACCTTGAGCACACGCTCACAAACTGCAGATTGTTCAATCTATTATGTTTTATGTCAGCTATATGTTCTTTCACATGGGTTTTTATTGCTCTTTTTGTTTGTCCTATGTAAGAGAGCCCACATTCACAGTCAAGTTTGTACACTCCTGGATCTTGCAGAGGGATATTACACTTGACAGATGGTAAAAACTGACAACAGTAAAAACTTTCAAGCTGCAGCTTGATGCCCTGAGTAGTGACGGTCGCGACGAATTTTACCCTATTTGACAGGGCAGACGCGATCATAGGCCACTTTTCGGTGTCCTGAATAAATAGCGGTGGCGGGCGTTTATCCTGCGGCGCGCGTGGGGCGGCGGGAGGCGCAGGGGCCGCGGGTTTGGCGGCTGGAGGAGTTGAGGTCGGGGTCGCTGAGGGCGATAGAGCGGGTGCGGGCTTGGAAGGCCCTGCCTCGGCCGTTTCGGACGGCCTAGATGCCTTAACCGGCACGGGGGATGGAGCCGTGGAGGACGGCTGAGAGTTACGCTTCTTCCTCTTTTTCTTATTCACCACTTCGGTGAATAAGCCGCCTTTATTAGAGGCGTCGGTGGAGGAGAGGGGCGTGTCGAGTTCCATCTCTTGAGAGGAGGAAGTTGCTGAAGCTTCAGCGGAGGAGGAGACCCTTGAAGTGGGTCTTGATAAATCCTTGAGTGCCAGAAGGGCATCTGGCAAGGCGTCGGGGTATTTGGCTTGGAGGAGTCCAAGAATGGCCTTTAATTCGGCCATTACGGGATAATTATCCTACTACCATTTGTCCTAATAGGTCCCGGTGGGATACCGGGGTGAGTGCCCGTATAGTGCCTAAATTGTGTGACCCTATTGCGTCCTTGTTCCGATCTTATTGTGCACACGGGTGTGTACTTATAGCTAATTAAAACTACCCGAGGGCGCTAAAAGGCCAAACGTGGACTACCGTTGACTAGGGACTACACCCAAGGCCAGTGATGGTGGTCCCTTCCGAAAATTCGCGGTTCTCAGGAGAGAACCGCAAGGCGATCGGGGCAAGCCTTGGCTGGCTTCGTTAGCACCGTTAGGAATCCACTAGCCCTAAGACGTTCAAAACAGAACCGCTGCTAAGCGCGTTGGTCGGCGCAGTCAGAACTGCACCTCGCAACTCGACTTGCGAGGGGGGTGTCCACTCGTAATAAAAATCAAGAGTGAACGCGGCGCGCAGTGCGCGACGACTGAGCATCCGCGGCGAGCGAGTCGGCACGCGGAAGCGGACAAGGGTGGGGGGTAGCAATAGTAGAGAGAGCGCGTGCCAAGGCGTGCGTTCGCCTCGACTGCTGCGAGCGGAATGAGTGATCGTACAATTTTTTTTTTTGGCTGGATGAGCCACTGTTGGCCTTAGGGGTGTAACGTGTGATTTCATCACTTTGTCGAAATTGTTGTTTTTCTAAAGACTAGGCTGCATGTCATATGAACCTTGCCTGTTCGAAAGGACGAATGTAAAAGTTAACTTCATTTGGTCGTACTTGTCATTTGAGATTGCCGCCGGTTCGAATCGACATTGGATAAATTAGTTTTTGTAGATCCATTATCTTCGACTGGTAAGTAGTTGCTTGGTTTTGTTCATGCCAGTGGTTGTTTTGTTTACGTATTTCGTTTTCTTATCAACTCGCTTTTTTACAGTGCATGGCTAGAGGTTGAAATCAGAACACGTTCCTGGTCGTATTATTTGTGATTGCTGTCTGGGAAACTGTGCTGGATTTGTTATCCCTCGTGGTAAGATCCTCTGTTATTTTCACCACTGGTTTCCTACTAAAATTGTAAAAGACTTGCATTGTGAATGTATTTAGAAATGTCACATGAAGGTAGGTTGAGAATTTATTGTCTCGTGTTTCTAAGTATGGTTTTTTCTAATATCACAGGTGGATGCTGAAGGCATAGGTGGCTGGCAAGCTGGTCTGAGCTGCTGCTCGATTGAATGTTGTTTTTTACCTCCAGTTGGTAAATGTTTCACATCTTATAATTGTAGGTGGATTGAAATCCCTGCCTTTGTTAGTTCTACAATGTAGTGTTTGTTGGCAGGAGGTCTCCTATATACCCCCAACAGTGTGGCTGTACACACTTCACTTGGCCTGACTTTATCTACTGGTTCTGAGCTCAACGCTGACCTGTGCACACAGGGCAGATGTCTCTGCGGTGACATAGATTTTAAATAACTACCTGATTGGACTTTATTTTTTAAATTGAATTGCATAACTTTCATAATCTTAAATTAATTTAATTATCTAACCTTTTTATGGTCGCACAAAGTAATGTGTAGGTCTTATGTACTCACGACTCCCTGAGATACTTAATTGTGATTATTACAACAGTCTGTTCCTAACAGACAAGGCGCCCAACTTATTATTATTATTATATTACAAAATATATTGTATCTGAGCTAGTCCAGGGATTGTAACTTTAAATTGAAGGGATAAATACAAATTCTTAACCGCTAATAAATCTTTTATTAAATCTCCCATCATATATACACCATCCTAATAGAAACGTTACATTGGCGCCCAACTGGTTTATTTACTTTTTGTGACCATACTTTAATTAAAAAACAAAATATTTATTATCACAAGTTTGTCTCATGCTCTTTTTACTGTTTGCTGTGTGTTTAAGTAGAATATAATTCCATGTGTTTCAATAGAATTTCTTAATGTGGTCAATATTTAGGATAACCTTATCTTAAGTTTTATTAATGCAGATGGATAGTTTTAAATACTATTAAATAAAAATATAAAAGTGTACTGATAGATAATATCTCCTTTGCTGCTTAATTTAAAGATTGTGTTCTGTTTACAGTCATTTTAACAAAAAAATAATTAAATGTTTGAAAAAGTTTTGTAAATGTATATGAATTGATGATATATTATTAAGGTATAACAATATTATAACTATAACTTACTAAAAAGTGTAAACTGACTGCGACCATAAATAATATAGAATTTAAAGATCTTAATAACTTAAAAAATTTAATTAACTGGTGTTAGAAACAATGTCTCGTGAAATAAATCCCAATTATTTAAAAAAAGATGAGCTTGAATATGAGGTGATAATAAGAGGTGACCAGCCAGCTGATACTGTTGAACAATTACGACAACAGTTGCGTACACTATTAAAACATTCAACTTCGTCTTCTATTACCAAGTGTAAAAATGATATTGGGGAAGAAATAAATATTATTTTGGAAAAGTTAGCATCACTTGAAAAGCAGATTGCTAGTTTGACCGGCGCGTTGACTAAGGCACAGTTGGAAAGGTTGCTATCAGTTTTCTGTTCATCTTGATTATAGGTTACGCAGGTTGCAGACTGAAGATGACCTTATAGCTCTCATAATTAATAAAAATATCAGAGAGAATTGCAGCAATTATTCAAAAGTTAGATGGAAGTACAGCAGAGGAGAGTATAAGTTTTTTGGATGCAGAGGATTGTCATAAAGGCTCACAGGTAAATTCTTGTTGTGTTCATAACATTACCTATGTAAAGGCTGCCAGTGTTAGTGCTTTAAACATTAAGTATGATGGCAGATCTTGTGTATTACTGTTTCTGGAACGATTGGAGGAGATTTGTCGTTCACGTTCAATTACTTATGACAGATTGTTTACTTCAGCCTCAGAATTGTTTATTGATACAGCGTTATTATGGTATAGGGGTATTTGTGATACGGTGTCTTGCTGGGATGACCTTAAGAAAGAGCTGATAGAGGAATTTTTACCTACAGATTATAATTGGAGGTTAATGAATGAGTTACAGTCACGTACTCAGGGGGTAAATGAATCTTTTTCATCCTATTTTTCGGTAATGTTAAACTTCTTCAAGCGTCTTTTGGAACCATTATAAGAAAAAAATAAATTGGATATTCTACTCCGAAATATTCGTCCTGAGTACGCTGAACATTTAGCATTATTAAATATAAATTCTCTCAGTGAATTAAAAGAGAAGTGTAAGTTAATTGAAAGAGCCAAAATTAAATCACAGCTTTTTATGGAACCGCCAAAAGTATCTGCAAATACTTTAGCCACCGATTTGGCCTTTAAGCCGGTTAAATCCCAGCAAGTAGCTGCTGTCTCGGCGTTGCCTCCAGTTGCAAAGAAGTTCTGTCGTCGTTGTCGTGTGAACACTCATAATTTAGCTAATTGTACTGCACCAAGGACTTTAGTTTGTTTTCGTTGTGGGTTAGATGGTTACACCACGGTATCTTGTCCGTCTTGCAATAAGAAAAATAAAAGAAA